ACAAGAGTACTTTGAACATGGTGACTTTTACTTTTTCCTTTAAAACCTTGCTTATTTTAAAAATTAAGAAAATATCTAAACTGAAAGTGTCACTTGAGTACCTGAATCTAATCTAAAGAGTTCTAATTACTCAAGTATTAAGTGAGATAGCGCCAACCTGATTCTATTGAGTGAAGCCCAGATAATAATATAAAAGCCACATATTTAAGGGGATGTTTAAATGAAGGGATTACAGCTAGATAATATTAGGGAAGGCTTAATGGAAGAACTGGTTCTGCCTACATAATAAATTTTTATTGCTAATTTCCCAATGATTCCGAGGAGTGAGTTGTCACTCAATGGCATTAAGAACAATAAAACTAGCCCTCCTTTAATCTCAAGTAAAAAGATGTGCTTCAGAGATGGACTTCTGAAATGGTAGAGTGAAGACGTTGGTGAACTTGCTGCCCTAACCCCCCAAAACAGTGAAAAACAATTTGGACTAGCAGAAGAAAGGATAAGTGAACGTGAAGATAGATCAACAGAAATTATGCAATTTGAGGTACAAGAAGAAAAAATAAAAATGAAGAGCTTCAGAGAACTGTAGGACATCATCAATAATACCAACATACAGATACTGGAAGTTTCAGGAAGAGGACAAAGAGGCAAAAAAAAATATTTGATGAAATAATGGTTACAAAAACCTCAAATTTGGTGAAAATTATTAATTTATATAATGAATTCTCCCCCCCCCCCCAATTTTTAAAATATGTTTTAAAAACTGATTTTATAGAGAAAGTAAGGAAATGGGATAGACAGAAACACTGATGGCTATTTCCTGCATATCCTCACTGGGGATCAAGCCTGCAACCTGGGCATATGCCCTGATGGGGAACTGAACCAGCAACATCTTGGTGCATGGGTTGATGCTTAACCACTGAGATACACCAGTCAGGCCACAATGAATTCTTAATTGAAGCTCAATTAACTCCAAATAGAATAAAATCAAAGAGATCCACATCTAGATGGATCATAATCAATTCAGAAAAGTCAAAGACAGACAATGTTCAAAGTAGCAAGAGAAAAATAACTTCTCACATACAAGAGGTTCTAAGTAAAATTAACAACTGACTTTAATCAGAAAACCATGGATGTCAACCCAGCCAATGTGTATCCGTGGTTGAGGCACATGCCTGGGTTGTGGGTTTGATCTCCAGTAGGGAGTATACAGGAGGCAGCCGATCAATGATTCTCTCTCATTATTGATGTTTCTCTCTCTCTTTCCTTTCCTCTCTCTGAAATCAATAAAAATATATATATTTTAAAAACATGGACACCAGAAGACCAGTGGTATGACATCTTCAAAGTGTTAAAGGAAAAAGGCTGTTAGCCAACAGTTCTACAATATATCCAGCTAAACTTTTCTTTTAAAAATGAAGGAGATTCAAGACATTTCCAGAAAAAAAAAAACACAAAACAAAAAAAAACCGGAAAAAAACAAACAAAACACTAAGAGATTTCATCACCAATAGACTTGCCATACAAGAAATACTAAAGGGAATCCTTCAGGCTGAAATGAAAGGACACTATATGTAACTCGAATTTATAGGGAGAATAAAGAACATGGGGAAAGGTAAATAACTACGTAAGTAAATATAAAAAAGAGTATACATGTATTTTTTATAATTATTGTTTTACAAGAGAACATAAAGCAATAATTTATTGGTGGGCATATAATGTATAAAGAACTAATATGTCTGACAGTAATCCCACAAAAGAGTGGGATGGCAATGGAGGTATACTGGATGAAAATTTTTAACATTACTGATTTTAAGTTGGTATTCAATCAAACTAGATTGTTTTAAGATGCTAACTGCAATCCCTAGGGTAACTATTAAGAATATAAATAAAAAACTATAAAGAAACATGGCAATTAAAATGGTACTGTAGAAAATACCTATTTATTATAAAAGGCAGTAATGGAGGAGTTAAGGAATAAAAAAAAGACATATAGAAAATGGCAAAATGGAAGATGCAAATCCTACCCTATCTGGATTATATTACATAAAAGTGTATTAAATATTCCAGTCAAGGCTTGTCTCAGTTTTGGTTCTTACAAGGATATTTCTTGGATCACATGATCTTACATATCTAGAGGAAATAATGAACAACATAAACTGATGAACAAAAACAGACCCAGAGAAGAGAAGCAGCAATTAGACTTTCAAACCTCAGAGGGAAAGTAGGGGAGGGTAGGGATAAGGGGCAGAGATCAACCAAAGGACTTGTGTGCATGCATATGGGCCTAGCCAGTGGCCATGGACAACAGGGGGGTGGGGGCATATGTGGGGAGGGGTTTGGGATGGGAATGGGGGGATGAGGACAATTATGAATTTGAAATTAAAAATTTAATTTAAAAAATAAAATATTCCAGTCAAATGACAAATCTTATTAAAATTGATTTTTTTAAAACCATGATCCAACCACATGCTGTTTACAAGTAACACAATTAGATTCAAAGAAACAAACAGATTAAAAGTAAAAGAATAAATAGATATATCATGCAAACAGTAGCCAAAGGAGAATTGAATGGCCATACTAATATCAGACAAAATAAACACAGAACCTCTTGCTAAAGTCATAATGATAAAAGCAACCCATAAGGAAGATTTAACAATTATAAATATATATAGCTAACAATACGGCCCAAGAAATACATAAAGCAAAAACTAATAGAACTGAAGGTAGAAATAGATGAGTTAACAACAATTAGAGACTTCAATATCTCACTTTCCATAATGGATAGAACTAAACAGAAGATCAACAGGGAAATAGAAGACTTGAATCCTATCTGATAGAGAATATGCTAATTGACTGTCACACCCTCACAAATATGGCGGCGCCCAAAGCCACAAGATGGCAATGCCTAGTCTCCTCAGTCCCCTCAGACCCCCCAGTCGCCCAGGACTGGCCATAGGTGCAGGCAAGCCTCGGATGGCAGCTGCCCAGCCGCCCAGGGCCACCTGAAGCTCAGGTAACCAGGGGCTTGTGCTGCTGGCAGCGGCAGCAACAGAAGTGTGATGGGGGTATCGCCTTCCCAATTGCCGGGTCGCCTCCTGTCTCTGAGGGCTCCCTGACTGTGAGAGGGGACAGGCCAGGCTGAGGGACACCCCTCCAGTGCATAAATTTTCATGCCATGGGCCTCTAGAAGCATTATAAACAAGAGCTAACATTTCTACAGGATACTCCACCAACAGAATACACATTCTTCTGAAGCACACATGAAACATGTGCCAGGAAAGACTACTCTGCCATGAAACAAGCCTCTAAATTCAAAAGAAATGAAAATATTCCAATTATATTTATATTTATTATGCAACCACAATGGAATAAAATTAGAAATCAATAACAAATGTGGGAGCCACAAATCTGTAGAAATTAAACATCCCAAAGTAACTAATGAGTCAAAAAGAAATCACAAGGGAAATTAGAAAAATATTTTGAGATGAATAAAAACAAAAAACACAACATATCAAAACTATGGGCAACGAATGTTAAAACAAAAATTTGTACATGAATGTTCTTAATAACTCTAATCACAATAGCCAAAAAGTAGAAACCATCCTACTGTCTATCAAGTGTTTAATGGATAAACCAATGGAGTATTATTCAGCCATTAAAAAGGTATATGCTGATACATGCTACAATATTGATTAACCTTAAAAATATGCTAAATGAGAATATGCTAATAAACCAGACATAAAAGCTTACATCCTATCTAATAAAAGTGTAATATGCAAATTAACCATCACAAAGATGCAATGCCCATTGCCACAGATGGTGGTGCCTAGTCCTCTCAGCCCCGCCAGAGTCCCCAGTCCCAGGACCGGGCGGCCACTGAGAGCCGGCAGTGTGAGCGACCTGGCAGAATGCTTGCTTTGTTCCACTCTAGGCGTGGAGGGCCTCTGGGCAGCAGGCACGGAGCGGCGAGGGGGCGAGAGGGGGAAGGGATTGCTTGCATCATCAACCCAACAATGAGGCAAGCATTCCTCAACCAGCTACAGATGGGCCTCTGGCCTGGCCAGGCCAGGCGAAGAACACTTGCCTGATTGCCTTGGCAATGAGGCAAGCATTTCATGCCTGGCCGTGGATGAGCGCCTCTGGACAGCGGGCGCGGAGCAGCCAGGCCCCCGCAGAGAGCTATTGACACAAGGATTCGTGTGCAGGGCTACTAGTATTATATGATTCCATTTATATGAAATTCTCAGAACAGGCAAATCCATAGGCAAAGAAGATTTAGTAGTTATTAGGGGCAGTGGGGGTAGTGAAATAGAATGTTGCTGTCAATGACCAGGGAGGTTCCATTTGGAATGCTGAAAAAGTTCTGGAACTAGCTATAGTACACTTTATTTATTTATTTATTTATTTAAAAAATAAATTTTGATTTTTCACAGAGAAAGGGAGAGGGATATAAAATTAGAAACATCAATGAGAGAGAAACATCGATCAGTTGCCTCCTACACATTCCCTACTGGGTATGTGCCCTTGACTGGAATTGAACCTGGGACCCTTCAGTCTGTAGGTCGATGCTCTCTATCCACTGAGCCAAACCAGTTAAGGCTAGATACAGTACACTTTAAAACAATTTAAATGGTAAATGTTAAGTATATTTTTTGTTTTGTTAATTTTCACCCGAGGTTATTTTTTTTCCATTGATTTTTTTTGGGGGGGAGAAAGAAGAGAGAGGGAAAGCCCTGAGCAGGGACCAGGCTGGGGAGGAGCCTGCAACCAAGGTACATGCCCTTGACTGAATCAACCCGGGACTCTGGTCTGCAGGCCGACACTCCATCCACTGAGACAAACCAGCTAGGGGTGTTAGTGTATTTTATCACAATTTTAAAAAGTGAAAAGTACTATTGTGGGGAAAGAAAATAAGGTTAAAAAACAGACACTCAGATCTGAGAGAGAGCCATAATTTCAGCAAAATATAAAAACTCCCAATACATAATTATGTTCCATACTTGTATGTGAGGCCAAGAAGCCTCAAGTGTGGGTTCATCCTCCTCTGGATCAAAATCTGGATTATCACTTGGAGGAAGAGTACGGAAGATATTAGCACTGATCTGTAAAAAAAAAAAAATTTAGATTTATGTTCTTTGTTGTATAATTAAATTCAACAATGCAAAATTAAATATTCTTAAGATAACTTTATTTTTTTTAAAAGTTATGTTGGGGCTATAAGGTTAGTTCAAAAACCTAGAAACCACTTCAAAATATGAAGGCAGGCATGTTTTCTCTTTTCTCTATCCCATAACTCCGAACTTCTTCAGATGCCAACCTTGTGAAGATTACAGATTACCTCTGGATTCCTCTACCTTAAATTTAAAATTGTTCTTTCCAAGTTTTGTGTTTAAAAAAGTTGGGCAGGGGAGGGAAGTTTGGGGGGAATGCATAAAGTTTTTAACTCTACCTATCCTTAACTTGATTTTCTTCACCTTTCCCCAACTCCCCCATATTCTAACCCAGCCATTTACTTATCCTATAACACAAAGAGTTTGATAAAATATTTCCATATATATCACACTAAAAAAGAGGTGATAGAATGTCTTCACTACTATTACAGACATAGTTTATAATACCTCATGATGATTTAATTTACTATATTTCATCTACTCTCAGTCCTTTTAAAAAAAATTAATCTCTGAAATCAGAATGTAATTTGAGTTTTAATTTCGTCAATATTTAAGGACATAGTATTGAAGGGTTGTTCATTTGAGATAAACTACTTGGGGAATAAAGAATAAAACAAGGAGTATTTGGTGGTATAAGCAAATTTCCAACCATCTTATGAAGTGGCATCTATGGTAAGACAAAAAAAAACTAACAGTCAATTAAAATAATGATAGACTTAGAAAAAGACACACACACAAACACACCCTACACACACACTTTTTTACATGGGGGAAAATTAATCCCAAAATTTATTAGTCTATAACAATTATAGAATAATTTGACTCAAATATTTGAGTACTTTCAATATCTAAGTCAGTCAACAACTTCATAGAGATAAAGTATCTTTCCCAGGACTCTCAAAATTCCTGAATAAAAACCATTTGAAATCAGTGAAATACTGGTGGGAATATTGCTTTTCTCCCTGAACATTTTTTAAACAACAAACACAAAATAAAAAAACAAAATAAGAGGTCTATCAATATTTACTATTTATGTTTCTAAACTATCACTTTTTACTGTCTTTGGAAGTTTAGAAAGCCAATTTCATTTTAATTAATGTTCTCTTTTATAGTTAATCTTTTTTTAAAAAAAATGTAAGGCTTTTATTCGTTAAATAAAACCCACAAATCCACCAAAATGTCCTAAGTCCTTTTAATTGGTCATAGTAAAATGTGATAAAGAAAACCAATTAGTATATCAGGATAAGATTTAACTTTCCTACACATTTTGCTCTTTCCCCAGAACATATATTATGAAAGGGGAAGGAAATAAAAGCAGCTATAGGTTTTACTTGCTATATAACTCTGGAGATATTTAAGCTTAAATTATGTACTCAGTGACTCTCTAATTATTCCAACTGATTTTTCTGTATTTTGTTAGTATGCATACAAAAATCACAAATTCTAAACAAATGTCTATTGTCTGATGGAGAATAAGGTTGAATTATCAATAAATAGTACCCTAAGCAATCTTGCTTTAACAAAGTTGGCAGTATTTTTCACACCAGATATTTCAAACATTTATATTTTTTAACTTATCCTGAGTTTTGATTAAAATTCAAGTGTTATAGAATCTACAAATATTTTATTAAAAAATGTCCTAAGTAAGAATTTTTTAGGCCTGACTCCTTTATCTACCATTGAAATGTGGAGAGCCCCATAGTTTTCCATTGGGCTTTTCTTACCCCTTTAGACTTTCTCTCTCAGTGACTATTAAACCCCATAATATTAGATATCTAACAATCTGTATAATCTTGAGCCTACATCTTTCTCCTAAGCTCTACATCTGCATACCCAGTATGGTATCCACCAGCCATTGTGGCTATTGAATTGCCCAACTATTATAAGCAATATCAGCATTATTGAAATGAATGGATAATCTTTCAAATGGACTATCTATTGAGTAAATAAATTACTGTACACTTAAATAAGACTTATTAATTCATATTTACACCTCAGATCTTACTTGAACTTATATAAATCTGAGGAACATAAGTCTAGAGGCTTACCATTTTTACTATATCAGAATACGCTGATTCAACAATTACACCACGATTAGTTGAAACATACTCAACCAGTTCATTCAGTGTTGCTCTTTTAATTTCTTTGCTCTTCAAGTCTGAAACAGAGTCCATGAAATCAAACAGTACACAACACTGTTGCAACTTCTGACAGAAGAGTTCTTGTTGTTCATTTGAAGTAGCATCTATAAATAAAAATACAGAAAAACTTAGAAATAACCTACTCAGAAGTTACCTTTATATGCTTATTCATTTCGTAGAAACTATTCAATGCATAAAACTTTTTTCAAAAATCTAGTGAGAAATTTACCCATCTAATCTCAACATTCATGCCAGAAAATGGGATTTATACTGGATTCTTCCTTCATGCTCACTACACACAATCAAGCATTAAATGCTACTGATTCTATATCTATTATATATCTGGAATCTATTCTTTTCTTTTGAAATTATCCTGTTTTCTTTGATTACAAAATCTGCCATTATTAACTGGTATGCCTAGTATGAAAAGTTGGAAACATATTTGATGCTTACACTCCAGATATGAAGTGGTAGATTTAAATGGATTAAATGAGATAATGATCTTGAAGGTGAGTGCATCATATATTTCAAAGTAGAATACAAATGGAAGAGCATTTTCCTCTTATACCACGCTTTTGCTACATCACATGCTAGATAACATGTTAGAAGACACAAAATGATTTTCAGTCAGGACTGACAAACAGGGCAATGGGGAGGGCAGTTAGGGGCAATCAAGCCTGCAGGGGAGGGCAGTTAGGGGTAAGCAGGTCTGCAGGGGAGGGCAACCAAGCCTGCAGGGGAAGGCAGTTAGGGGCGACCAAGCTGGCAGGGGAGGGCAGTTAGAGGCAATTGAGGGGAGCAGTTAAGCATTGATTAGGCTGGCAGGGGAGTGATTAAGGGGTGATCATCCTGGCAGGCAGAAGTGATTAGGGCAATCAGGCAGGCACACAGGCTAGTGGTTGGGAGCCAGCAGTCCTGTATTGTGAGAGGGATGTCAGACTGCCCCTTTAGGCCCGTCCCCATTTAGGGATGGGCCTAAAGGGCAGTCTGACAGTCCTCGAGGAGTCTCAGATTGGAGAGGGTGCAGGCTGGGCTGAGGGGGACACACACACACACCCATGCATGAATTTCATGCACCAGGCCTCAAGCAGGATAATAAAAGACTAATATGCTAAGGGTTTGGTCATCCCGTCAGCCGTTCAACCAATCAAAGCATAATATGCTAATGATATGCTAAGGCTGATCAACCGCTTGCTCTGATGTACATTGACCACCAGGGGGCAGGAAGTCAACTGGTTGACCAGTAGCTATGATGTACACTGACCACCAGGGGGCAGACAGTCAACTGGTCAACCAGTTGCTATAACATGCACTGACCACCAGAAGGAAGATGCTCTGACCAGTAGATGAGTCTGCTGCTTGGGTCCAGCCAATCAGGATTGAGTGAGACAGGCAGGACACATCCTGGAACCCTCCTGCAGTCCCTCCCCAGCCCTGATGGTGCACCAATGGGGTCTCTCAGCCTGCCCTGCAACTTCTTACAATCTGGGACCCCTCGGGGGATGTTGGAGAGCCGGTTTCAGTCTGATCCTGCAGGCCAGGCTGAGGGACCCCACTGGTACACGAATTTGTGCACTGGGCCTCTGGTGTTACATAATGACTTGAAACTCCAATTTACATTAATTTTTTCAATAACATCACAGCTAAAGACTTACTAAAAGTGCTCTTATAAAAATTCTAAAGGCCTGATGCACAAAAATTCGTGCAAGAGTAGGCCTTCCTTCCCCCGGCTGCTGGCACCAGCTTCCTTCTAGCACTCAGGACACAGTCTTAGCTCAGGGCGCCACTGGCAGGCACCTAGGACCCGGTTGCTTCCCTCTGGGTGCCACCATTAGGCACCCAGGATCCAGGCTTTGCTCCAGCTCTGGCTTCATCCAGAAGGACGTTTGGTCTAATTAGCATATTACCTTTTTATTATTATAGATAAGCAAACCCCCAATATAAAAAGCTCAGCATAAAAATTATGAAAGATACAAGGAAACTACAAAATCAAGGAATGATATAAAAAAGAAAATGTGCCTTGCTTTGCAAAATAGTTTAAGTCTGACTAGAATATGAGTATTTTTACATACATCTTAATTGTCTTCCACTTCATTATGACTGAACTTTGATCCCACTAAAAAATTCTTACCACTGTACAAATCCCTAAGTGGTCTTAGGTAAAGCAAAGGAAGAATCAAGACAACTCTATGGAAATAAGGCATTTCATCTTTGGAGAATTATTAACACAACTTCTAAACTAGAAGCCCTGCTAGGTGATCCAAATTTCTAAATTATTGTTTTTTTTTTTTTTTTTTTCAATTCCAAACTTGAAGATATAGCTGCTTACAGGGAACTCATACAATTTAACAAAATACTGCTCTAAAGAACTGTATTACAAAGTGTGGGTTGCAACCCACTGGTTGGTAGTAAGATTATTTTACTGGGTCACAAGCAGAAATTTAAAAAAATATATAAAATATCAGCATGTTGCACGTAAGAGTATTATTTCACAAAACTGTATATGAGTACTGAGTTGTAAAATTAAATGTTTCTTACTATAGTTTGAAGTAAAAAAAAAAAAAATTGAAAGTGCTATATAATATGTAAAGTACTATACTAGTAAGATACCACATTACATAGCATGCTGCCCAAAATCATAAACCAAATCTGCAATGCACCTGATATTCAAATCACCTAGAATGCAATAAAAAGTATGACTATACTTACTGTCTTTGAAATATCAAATGTTCCTTTAGTAGCTATATTTTAAATATTTGCTCACTTAGAAATTCACAATGCATATGACTTTAAAATGTCAAATTTACCTCCTCCCTTTTACTCAAAATAAAAGTAAACAAAAATATATAAACCCACAATAACAAAGAGAATAGAAGAATGGGCCCTTAGCCAACAGAATTCAACAAATTCCTGGAAAACTCAAAATACATGATGTGGTAAGTGACAAAACCAAAACAGAGAAAGTCACATCTTAGAATAAACAGGGGATTGCAGACAAGGTTCCTATAGAACTCCAGATTAGAAAAGCCTGGTGAGCCGAAACCAGTTTGGCTCAGTGGATAGAGCGTCGGCCTGTGAACTGAAAGGTTCCGGGTTCGATTCCGGTCAAGGGCATGTACCTTGGTTGCGGGCACATCCCCAGTATGGGCTGTGCAAGAGGCAGCTGATCGGTGATTCTCTCTCATCAATTCTTCTAACTCTCTATCCCTCTCTCTTCCTCTCTGTAAAAAGTCAATAAAATATATTAAAAAAAGAAAGAAAGAAAAGCCTGGTGAAATAGAGGTTGGGATTAAAACAAACTGAAAATAGGGGAATTATATAAATCTATATGCTAAACACTCTGTTACTTCACTCCAAAAGACAGTCATGCACTCATACTCTAGGCAAATACTAGTAAAAGAAAGAAAAAGTAAGGTTTTTGAAGAAAATGTATAGTTCCAGAGAGTCATACATTCTAGCTTTTACCTAATTCCCTGCCCAATTATTCTAAGAAAAGCAGCTAATATACCCCATCCAACTTCTAAAGAAACTTTTTGTTCACTCATACATATTAATAGAAAATAAAGATTGTCAGACACTCAAAGAAAGCCTATATAAGAAGTCTATATAAGAAAGAAAACCAAATAAACAGGGGGGAAAGACCCAAATTGAAGGGATAATTTAACATATCACTGTGAAATTTAAGATTTAAAAGAATTACTCACAAAAGAACCAGAGATAAGATTATGCATCAGATTTATCAACAAGAATGATTCCAGAAGACAGTGTGGCTATGCCATTAAAATTCTAATGCCATCTCCAACATTTAAAGGGAACTCATACAATTTAACAAAAGGAAGATAAACAACCCAATCAAAAAATGGGCAATAGACCTAAATAGATACTTTTGGAAAGAGGACATAAGAAAGGCAAGAGACATATGAAAACATGCTCAAAGTCACTAATCATCTGAGAGATGCAAATCAAAACGGCAATGTGATACCATCTCACATCTGTCAGAATGGCTGTCAAAATCAACAAATGAAAAGTGCTGGCGAGGATGCAGAGAAAAAGGAACCCTGGTGCACTGCTGGTGGGAATGCAGACTGGTGTAGCCACTGCGGAGAACAGTATGCAGTTCACACAAAAAACTATAAATGGAACTCCCATTTGACCCAGTGATCTGACATCTAGGAATATATCCCAAGAAACTAGAAACACCAATCAGAAAGGACATATGCACCCCTATGTTCATAGTAGCACAATTCACCATAGCTAAGATTTACAAACAACCTAAGTGCCCACCAGCAGATGAGTGGATTAAAAAACTGTGATACATCTATATAATGGAATACTATGCTGCAGTAAAAAAGAAGAAATTCTTACCATTTGCAACATCATGGATGGAACTGGAGCATTATGCTAAGCAAAATAAGCCAGTCGGAGAAAGGTAAATATCACATGATCTCTGTCATTTGTGGAATATAATGAACAACATAAACCGATGAACAAAAACAGATCTAGAGATAGAGAAGCATTGAACAGGTCATCAAACCTCAGAGGAGAGGTAGGGGAGGGTGAGGGTAAGGGGGAGAGATCAATCAAAGGACATATATGCATGCATATAAGCCTAACCAATGGACACAGACCCGGGAGGAGGGGAAGGGGAGAGCATTAAGTGGGTGGCTGGGGGGAGAATGGGAGGATAAGGGCACATATGTAATACCTTAATCAATAAAGAAAATAAAAATTTAAAAAATTCTAATGTCAACAGAGAACTCTGTAAATAGCCAATAATAACTATCAATAAAGCATTATGTGCAGGTCTGAAAATGCCCAATAAGGGCATTTTCAGACCTGCACATAAGTAGAAATAAACTTCTTGAAAAATTTGGCAACCTCACAACCTTGCTTAGGAATTTATCTGAGGATCTGATACAGCAATAGGGGAAAAGACAAAGGAATAAGGGAAGCCACCCAGGAAAGCAATAAAGACCTAGAGAGCACCTGGGCCATTTAGAGCAGGAGGAAAAAGGCCACAAGCCAGTGGTCTCTACACGAAGATGAACAGTGTATCTTATATTCAGAGATCTGGAGGGGAACAAATTGAGAGTATGTTAAAGGT